CCAAAGGCCAAGGCTACCCTGGCACAAGTCCCATCCCCCATGATTGACAGCTGGCTAACTGTGGGCAGCTTAGCTTCACTGAGTATTTTCCTCCTTCCTCTGGGAGGTGGAAATCATGACAGCAGATCTCCAAGGTATGGCTGAGGCAATTAAGGATGCTGAGCTCAGCAACCTGTCTGGCTCATCAAGGATGAGCTGTGGACAGAGACACAGGAGAAGCCCCCACTCCATTCTAGGCAATTATCCTCCTTGGATAATATGGGAGAGATTAGTCACAGGGATTCTGAAACTCATCCCGAAGATGGGAAGTTTGCATCTTGAGTCACAAAATCGGTTGCACAAGCGTGGGATGGGAGGAACTAAGATTTCCCAGGCGGGGTGGGAGTTCCACAGCCAGCCTCCTCTGCATCCACTGTTGCTGAGCTTGTGGGCATCGGAGGTGATGGGTTCTGAGTGAGGCTGGTCAGTCCTCCTGAAGCCATTCCCGTCTCTCTATCCAACTATAACAGACATGGGGGAAGGGACAAAGCTGGGAATCAAACCCAGGATCTTAGACATGCTATGCCTAGAGCTCTCTGCTGTAAAATCTCTCCCACAGTCTTTCTATGTGTCTCTTCTCACCTCTCTCAACTCCTTTGGTCCTTCAACTTCCTTAGCCTCAGTGAAGGCATCAAAATCTGCCATTCTTTGAAGCCAGGCCTGGGGAAGACTGGAAGAGGCCAATCCTGCCCATCTCTGGCAGCAGGTGGGGCTTGAGTCCCCCTGAACCTCAGGTCTCTCCAGTGTCCATTACCTCCCTCCCTACATCTGCCATCACGCCCATTACAGACTGCTTGCCACCCCACAGCTAGAAAAATGTCTTACACTTACTTTGGGCATTTAGAATAGGGAGGCTTAGGTGGAAGGATGCCTCATTTGATTCCCAGAATCTGTGATCGTCTCTTCTTTGGTGGCTCTTGGCAAGTGTGACTGGGTTAAAGATCTTGGGATGGGGAGGCTACCCTGGGTTAGCCAGGCATAGCCTAAAGTCAGCGATAGACTGGCCAAAGAGAAGATGAGGGAGCACTGTGCCTGTCATTGACCCGGCAGGAGAGGACTCTGTCATCAGCTTGAAGGTCACTAAGATGAAATGACTGAAATCTAAGTTTCCCAGAATTCCATGCTGTGGGGAAGGAAAAGACTGAAGCCTTGTGCTAGGCAGAGGAGGCATTTGTCTCCCGGGGAGACATGATGCACAGTTTTAACAACTTATCAGACCGATTTAAAGGATAGACTAGTACTGAGACAAGGTCAGTGATAGGTAGGTAGGTGGGCGGGACCACACCGTGACCAGACTTCCTAGTAATGCATAGTTTTTGCCCCCTATTTAAGCCTAAACTTGGGGAGGCAGGAGACACTGTGGAGCCATGCGGAATGCGTGCAGGAGGATGGCACATTCATGGGAACTTAGGCCTGAATTATGAGAAATTATCAACTTTATTCTTTAATTGTCTCCATCTTCTGTTCACTCCTGCAGGTCTTGGTCCATCCATTCATGAATCTGCCATTCTGCCATTAGCTTTACATAGTGAAAGTCCTTTTATTGAGCTTTAAGCTTCTGTTAGTATGGCAGTTATTATTTCTTCTTCTTCTTCTTCTTCTTCTTCTTCTTCTTCTTCTTCTTCTTCTTCTTCTTCTTCTTCCTCTTCCTCTTCCTCTTCCTCTTCCTCTCCTTCTCCTTCTCCTTCTCCTCTCCCTCCTCCTCCTCCTTCTCCTCTCCCTCCTCCTCCTCTCTCTACTCTTCCTCCTTCTCTTCTTCTTCTTCCTCCTCCTCCTCCTCCTCCTCCTTCTCTTCCTCCTCCTCCTTCTTCTCTTCCTCCTCCTCCTTCTCTTCTTCCTCCTTCTTTTTTTGTTTTGTTTTGTTTTGTTTTTTGTTTTTTGAGACACGGTTTCTCTGTATAGCTCTGGCAGTCCTGGAACTCACTCTGTAGACCAGGCTGGCCTCAAACTCAGAAATCCTCCTGCCTCTGCCTCCCAAGTTCTGGGATTAAAGGTGTGGGCCACCACCACTTGGTTCTAAGATTTTTAATTGGTTTGTAATGATTGCCAGCCACTCACTTTAATTTTACTGTTTCTCACTAATGTGATTCCTACTTTAATCTCTGCTTTAAATCTCTTTTTTACTTGGCTTCCTTGAGTTTAAGTGTTTCAATGTCCTTAGTGGGTTTTTTGTTGTTGTTTGTTTTTTGATTTTTTTTGCTTTATTTCATGCTTTCATACATGTAGACAAAACACCCATACACATAAAAATAAAAACTAAAATTTTGGGGATACAAGAAGCCCCCTCAGCCCAGAGTCTGAGTTCAGGTGGGGCTGGAGAGACGGCTCAGTGGGTAAGAGCACTCATTGCTCTTGTAGACGACCCAGATTCAGTTCTTACCACCCACATGGTAGCTTAGAAAGGGTCACTGTAACTCTAGCTCCAGGCAATCCAACACCCTCTCCTGACTCCCATAGGCTCCAGAGTGTAAGTGGTGCACATATACACACTCAGGCGCTCACACATGCGCAATAAACAAACAAGCAAATCAATTTTTTTTAAAGCAGCAAACCCAAACTTACCTCCGGGCTAGTTTTTATAAATTATAAGGATGACGGGTTCAGGACAATACTGTTTAACCCCTCTGAGGCTTTGTAAAACCTGATGACAATAGGCAAATGGGGCTACAGGTGAAAAGAACATTTTGTTTTGTTTGGATTGATTAGTTGTTTTTTTTTTTTTTTTTTTAAAGACAGAGTCTCTCTACATAGCCCTGCTTGTCCTGGAACTCATTCTATAAATCGGACTGGCTAGATCGTACAGAGATCCGCCTGCTTCTGCCTCCCGGGTGTTGGGATGAAGGGTGTGCACCACCAGGCCTGGTAGAAAGTATACTTTAAGATACAAAATCTTCTGCAAAAGCAATACACACTGGCCAACGATGATGTTATGTAAGTCCTAGAGAACAAGGAAGCCTGCCTTCCCAGAACGGGCCACAAGAGAGCGCCCTATGGCCCAGCCTGAGTCACCAGCCCTTTACCACGTTTCCAGGAGCAACTGCCCTTCCTCCTTTTTGTAAGTAAAGACACTCTAGGCTCTATATCTGGAAAGAGCCTGGGTTTGGGACACTGTTCTCCCTGTTTCTTTCCTCCCCAGGACAGAAGCCTGCCTCAGGGCACTTAGCGATGCCTGTGAAATTGTTCTGGTTTTAGGGATCAGTTGAGGCGTGGTCTCAGCTACACTAGCTGAATGCAGAGTTCTGATGAGTGCAAGCTGGGATCTCTTTACAGTAGGATTTCTCTGTCTGCTCTAAAAGGTGTGCCAGCATCAGGCACACTGAGCACACAGAAGATCTTGAATGAGTGAATAAAGATCAAGGTGAATAAAGACCCCCTAAACAAGTGGGGTATGGTGGTGCACACCTTTAATCCCAGCACTTGAGAGGCCGAGGCTGGCAGATCTTTGTGAGTTCGAGGCCACCTGGGACAGCCAGGGCTATGTAGAGAAACCCTGTCTCACCACCACCCACTCCCGAGAAAAAACTAAATAATAAAGCAGGACATCTCTGGGGTCCTGCTCATTGTTCCTCTTGTCTCTATCTGGAGACCCTGCAAAGCTCAAGTCACAGTGTGACTGTGACCTGCTGGGAGCTAGCTGGTGAACATTTTCATGAGGAGATCAAGTGGGAGCTCTAGAAGAAACAGCAAAGAGAAAGCCTGTGGTCCCTGAGAAGACTGTGGCGTCCTGCTGGCTACTGTTTCGCAGAGCTGAAAAGCACAGCAGTTTCGGAGGCACCCTTGGCCTTTTTAATGATTCTGGAGCCTCAGACCTCTCTTCAGGGAGCTGCTCAGGCCTTTCTCTCAGGCCCATTCTGAAGCACTGAGGATGTAAGGGCCCTTGACACCTGGGGAAGACCATGTAAGAGGGCTTGTTTTGTCTCAGTACAGTAGTTTGGGAGATCATGTGAGGCATGTGACTGTCTGTTTCCGATTGGGTTAGGATTTTTCAAGATAGGGCTTTTGTATATGTAGCCCTGGCTGTCCTGGAACTCACTACGTAGATAAGACTGGCCTCAAACTCACAGAAATCCTCCTGCCTCTGCCTCTGGAGTACTGGCATTAAAGATATAGGCCACCACTGACTGGCCATGTGACTGTTTTAAGTGTCCTGGCACCTAGTGTGGTGGTGTGTACCTATAACCCCAGCCCTTGGGTTTAGTCATATTTTATTTATGTGTATATTTGTTTGCAGGTGAACGGAGAAGCCAGTAGAGGTCGTAGCATCTCCTGGAGCTAGATCCCTGGAGTTACAAGTAGCTGTGAACCTCTCAATATGGGTTCTGGGAACTGAACCCAGGTCCTCTGGAAAGACATCCAGTGCTCTTAACCACTGAGCAGTCTCTGCAGTACAGCTCAACCCCAGTCCTCAGAGGCTAAAGCAAAGCAAGCTCAGTGACCATGTAAGCGGGGTTTTTTTTTTTTTTTTTTGGTCTAAATACAGTTGTTTGGGGGATCATGCAGCCTGGACTGCATGGTGAGACCCTATCTCAAAAACAAACAAACAAAAAAGAATATCTTTATGTGTTGGTTTTGTGGCCTGGGGTACAACTGAAGCTGTGTCGTTGCAGAGCTGGGCTTAAGGCCTGAGGTACTTCAGTATTACACACATGTGTGATGTGTGAACATATGATTTCAGACTGTGTTCTCTGGAGCAGATGGAGAAGGGATGCCATGTGTTAAATCCCCCAAGTCTTCTGTGGCCCTTGCTTAACTTTAGTGGTCCCCATCTCCCACAAACCTCTACCCTGAAGTACTTTGAGTCATGGCCTGGAAGTATCCTGAGACACCAGGAATGTGATGGGCAGCTTCTGACTGCTGTCTCTGGAAGTGTCTGCCAGGTGGAGGCACTTGGGGGCTAAAGCAGTGAATCATGGGAAGTTCTTTCTTGCCCCTATACTCCCAAGGAAGAAACAAGATACAAATCAAAGGTCCAGTACTTTATTACTGTTACAGAGCACAGAGAGGAAAGCTCACTATTCTCCCCCCACGGGAAAGCCATTGGGATGGGAGCAGCCTGAGGTAGGCAGGCCTGGTGGGTGGAGCACAGGAGAAGGGTGGAAATTGTTAGCATTGGCTGGGTACTGTCACAATTCCTGAGTGTGGCCTAAGGTAAGTGTCTTAATCTCTCTCAGCCTTGGGCTGCATGGCTGCTACCTCATTGGGTTGCAGTGAGAACTGACATGGTGCCGGGAGAGTCAAGAGCCACATGGTAAGGAACCAGAGAGTGGAGGGTGGTGGTGTCACCGTCAGCAAGTCTGCCATCCTGAGTGGGTCAGCAACAGCCTCTGAGTGTGACCAGGAAGGGGGGGGGGTCTCTCTTCAGAAATGTCTTCTGGATGCTTGCTCTGAGTACAGCCCCTGGGGACTGCCTGGTCTCTGGAAATTTGAGGCCACATCAGAAATATGAGGGTTGTGGAGTTATGACAGTTACCACCTCCACTGACTCAGCTCAACGGACTAGGGAGTGTTTAAGGATAGTTCTCAGGTACATGAGTGTGTGTATTCAGTTAGTGTCTTCTGTCACTGTCTACCCTATGATTATGAGACACTGTCTCTCGATAAACCTGAAGCTCACCAACCCTGGCTAGGCTGGCTGGCTGCAGATCTCCAGGGGTCCTCTTGTCCTTCTCACCAGCACTAGGATGATACGTGTGACCCCACAGCTGCTTTCTACATAGGCGCTGGGCATCTGAACTCAGCACTGTACTGATGAGCCATCTCCCCGGCACCTAAGTTCTAGTTTTCCTTTGCATTTATTTCTTTTTAGTGTGTTTGTGTGTGTGCGCGCGCGTGCGCACGTTAGCTGCACATGGCATGCTACACATGTGGAGGTCAGAGGACAAATTTCAGGAGTTGGTTTTCTCTTCCCACTACATGGGTTCTGGGAATTCCACTCAGCCCTCAGATTGGTGGCAAGCACCTTTGCTGGTAAGCTCTGCCTCCTCCTTCCAGCCCAAGTTCTATTTTATAGCTGGATTTCCATCCCTGCTTTTGCCTCCTGAGTGCTGCGATGAAAGGCATGTGCTTTATTTTTAATTTTTAATTTTTTTTGTACAATGAGCAAAGATTTACTAAGGAAAAACAAGAAGGAACTCCCAAGAGCTGGGGGGCAGGGAGCTATAAGGGAGTACCTGCCTCTACTTTTTCTTTTGACTCAGGCATTCAATTCCAGGCTTGAAATCAATCCCGTCTCTACCTTTTGCTTTCTAGGTGACCCAGCTCTTGTTTGGGCCTAAGGGAAAGCCAATGGTAAGCTGTGGAAACATCTCTGGAAGAGATAAGGGTTAAGCATGTCCATGGTTGTGTACAGGGGTCACAAGTGTTCCCGCAGTGGGAAGGGACACCACAAGGGGGCGCTCCAAATCATGTATTTTCTACCTTGAAAAACTCATTTTCCTGTGGCTGCCCTCCAAATCCAACTGAGATGAATGGTTCTTAGTTTACCTAACTGATTTAATAAACTTTTAAAATAAATTTACATATTACTTTCTTAATAATGTGGATATGGGTCTGTGGCCCCTCCTCACCACAAGGCCTACAAGGAAGGAATGTGGAAGGCCAGAGTAGAGGGAAGACTCAACCTTTGGTTCAACCACTGTGTCTTGAGACAAGTTTCTCAAGAGTGAGGCAGTTCTGAGGTTCCCACATCCAGCCTCCTGGGGATGTTAGGAAATATGGACACAACGAAAAGAAAAGCTATACAAAGGTCAGAAGAGCGAGCCCAAGACCGCTTACCTCCGATGCACCGCCTCCTCCTCCCTCCTCCCTGGGAGGACATGCCCGAGCGGGAAGGAGGCAGATCCAGCTGTTAAGCCATGACCTCAAGAACAGTATTTCCAGGAATCCCCATCTTAGCATCCAAGGGATTCCTGGGAAAACTGGACCGTGAGGACAAGGTGGGAGAGAGATGCCTTCAGCACGTGCCATGCCCCTAGGGGACCAGCAGTTTTCTCTGCATCCAGTCCTAGCTCTGGCAGCCAGTGTGGGGGTGCTGTATGCACCTTACTTCCCAGGATGCAGCTTCCTGCTCTGGGAAGAGCAACCAGAGCTCTGAGCGGCTTGGAAAGTACCTTCTCTGAGGTCAGGAAGCATTTGGGTCCAGTCATCCCTGCCCCTCCCCCTTGCCACGGCCGAGAACTCTGTTCCCACGCTCTAGTGAGGCCCTCCAGCAGGTCACTTAGATTCTGATCCTCACTCAATTGTACAGTGGCATAAAATAGGACCCACTGGGTGGGTGAGGAGCCATCACGAAGGAAGCGAGGCCATAAGACTCTTAGAAATATGTATGGGCAGGGGCTGGTGTGACGGCTCAGTGCTTAAAGAGCACTGGCTGCTCTTTCAGAGCTCCTGAATTCAATTCCCAGCAGCCACCTGGCACCTCAGGATCATCTCTAAAGGGAGCTGGTGCCCTCTTCTGGTGTATTTGTAGAAATGTGTGGTTCTGCCTCTGTTACTACAGCCGAGAGTAAGCAAGACCAGGATGGGGTCTGTTCTTTTATCTTACTCTTCTCTGTGAAGTGGGTCACCTTCCTCTAACCAGGCTTGGAAGGTTAAATACACATGGGTCTACCCCAGTGACTCTCCTCTGTTGCCCCTTGCCTCTCTGAAGCCTCTGGGACAGGGCAGACATTCGTGAGATGCCAGACTGGTTCTGGCAATAGCACAGAGCCAGCATTACGGCTCAAAGTGTAAAGACTGTGACTCCAAGCCTAATGTCTGGTATTTTGTGGTTATAACATGACAGTGTCATACTGTTGGGTTGCCAGGACCCTGTGCCTCTACCTCTAGGACTAAAGGTTATTAGGAAGTGTCTGATTTATGGAGACGAAGGGGTTTCAATGCAGACTCATATATAGTGGGTATTCACTATGCAGTGTTGAGAAGGATTCTGAGAGTGTGTTGGAACCCTCCCAGAACGGGTAGATGTAGCGTCTTTGTTAACAGGGTCTACTCTGGACTGGGGAAGTAGAGGCAGGGTGTTGGTGCTAGTGGCCACTGAGTCGATCAGCGCTTATTGTTACCAACGTCACAAGAGTGATCAGCCCTGGTACAGCCTGAGCCCATGAACATCACCACAAGCAGCTGGAGAGGAGTCTAGGGAAAAACCTCTCAGACCCACTATCCCATGCCAACACTTACCATGTCCTGTTGACGGCTGCAGAACATCTTCTCCCTTCCTGAGCTACAGTGCTTCATCTCAGACTCCCAACTGACCAGAGATGCAGCACTGCACCTCAGGCTGGGAGACAGGCGCTCCGCGTTCAGGCTGCGGCTTTATTCCTGGGCAGGAGAAGGAGTGTGAGCATGCGCAGTGTTCTGCCTCCTATCCTGGTCTCGACTTGACCTGGAACCCTCTGGGACTGAAATTTCCACCTTCACGTTCTTTGTCTAAGTTAGCTTTCTGGAGATAGATCCCATTCATTTCAAGCGTGCAGTTAATTTTTTTTTTTCAGTGCTAAAGATGGAACCCAGGGACTTGCAGATATTAGATAGCCTCTCTGGGCCTGCTCAACCTGTGGCTCTCGTGTTTGCCTCCCTCCCCCACTCCTCCTTCCCCATCCATCTCTGTATGTGCACTTTGGACAAATGACTGCTAGTGAGAAACCATCCCTTACTTCTTTAGATTCCAGGACATCTTCTTCATGGTCTCACCCATCCTTTGAGCTTTGTTTCTTCCTAGCTCTTAAGGTACAGTTTTCTTCTGCGGGCACTTTCCTTCATAAGGAAAGGGAGCCCGCTGGCTTCCCTCACCCCCGGATCAAGGCCGTGTTGAACATTGCTTGAGTAGATGGCTTACAATCCACCTCATCCTCTGTGGCCTTGGAGCAGTTTATCTCTGGGTCACCCCAGCTTACCTCTCCAGTTCCCTGAGGCCAGGGTCTATATATTATAACTTGGGGTCCCTAGAACCTGCCAATGACTTTGCACATGACCACAGACAGCAGATGATGCACAGTGACTGAGTGATCATGTGAAGGATTCCTTTTCTTCTGTGGCCAGGGCCTATGTGGGAACTCCCAGGTGAGCAGAGCAGCCCTTCCCCAAACCACCTGCTCACCCTGCTCTTGCTAAGACCCCAGGGTTTCCAGACAACCTTTTCTTCATGGTGACTGTGGTGGCCTCGATGCTGATGATACATACCTTCAGGGTTTTCTGAAGAGGGTAGGCAGCCTTTCCTCAGGACTGGAAAAGAACAGAAAAAAAAATGTGCACCTCCATTTTTAGAAACCCCACAGCTCTAGGCCTCCCAACAGGAATCTAGCAGCAACCCCAAGTTGGGGGTGGGGTGCAGGGGCAGTGGGAAAAGCTTCTCTGATTTGTTGCTAAGGTCAGGAAACTTCTGCCCCAAGCATCTACAGCCAATTCCCTCCGTCTGGAATCCTCAGAAACTTTCCATAGCCTTCTTACCGGGAGATCTGAACACAGGACTCTCTTGGAGTCTTCCCTTCATGACATTCCCCACAGCTCCCATGGACCCTGGGAAAGGTGGCACTGAAGCTGACCAAGGGACATTTCAGTAAGTAGCTAGGAGTGGTGGACACAGCATGGCTGGGTTGCTAGGAGCCTTCCCCGGGGTCAACTGTGTCCAGATCCCTTTTGCCTACACTGCTTTTGATTTCTGGGGCAGCAGAGGGAATGCATGGTCTTTGGGAGTTATTTGGTGACACACCATTAGCTTTGTCCCCTGTCTCTTTGTCTACCTTCCCCTCCCCCTTATTTTCCTTTTTGTCCTTCTTTCTTTTTAGAAACAGAAATGCATGCAGACCAGGCTAGTCCCCAAACTCATTCAGTGTGTAGAACTGTTGATCCCCCTGCCTCTACTTCTGGGATTCTGAGATTACAGGGATGAGCCACAATGCCTGTTGGCCTGGGGTCCTGGGTATGGAGAGGAAAGCCTGGCTGTTCTTTCTCTGACTTCTTCCTGAGGCCTGCTTATTTTAGGAAGGGGCTCCAGGTCGGGGCCTGACAAGCCACAGAAGCAGGTGACAGTGTGATACTGATGGTGCATCTTCATATTATTGTTTAAAACTCTGGAAGGCGTTAGTTTTCCATTTGTAACAAGCATTCCAGTTTACGTACATAAAAGGATTCACCTTTGCAATAAAATGGCAGACAAAAGTAAAAAACAGGACATCCAATGATTAGGTCTGGGGCAGAATGCCAGAGCCTGTCCTACCTTCTGGATAGCTTGTGTGATTGGAAATGATCACCTTAGGTAGAGGACCAGGAATGGGGGTGAGGCATTCTAGATTTGCAGACAGCTACTCAGAAAGGGGAAATGAGAGTTGATGCAGTCCCATAAAGGATAAAGGAGGGACGGCAAAGATTTTACATCTTCTCGGTGGGACACAGGAATCAGACAGAAGGTGGTCCATCTTAAGGAGACATAAACGGGTAGACAGTATGGAGAGGGAGGTGTTCAGCCAGGAAAGGTCTTTGCCTCTTCTTCCTTGTCCCATCCCTGGATAAAGACTGTCTAGCTCTGTCCCTGTGATTCTAGAATAATCAAGCTGGTGAATATTTAAATGCACATATTCCCATAGGTCCCCAAGGCTCCAAGGAAATAGAGTTTTCCCCAAGGGTTAGGGTGCAAGGTACCATGCTGGGCTTCCTAACTCAGAGCAGCCGGACCTGGTCCCTCACCTCAAACTCCATGCCTGACATCTCAGTTTCTTAGTCCTCTGGGTGTGGGGCAGCTCATTCAGCAGACCCAGCACCGTCTCTGTGTGCTTAAGGAGTGTGTCCCTGCACTCCTAGCTAAAGCAGCCGTAATACTGTTCTTGTCCTTGCGGGGCACAGAAGGCTGAAGGGGAAGGAAAGCACTCAAGGAGGGCATGGGGGTAAACTCATCAGAACTCCAGTGAGCCTGTGGAAAGACTGCCAAGAACTTGTGGCCAGGGAGGTTCCTTCCCCCACCCCTTGAGTAGCTCGAAAGGCCTCCTGGAAGGGTGGGGTGGGGTGGGGACTGGGATTGTGGGGAGGAACAATGGGATGGGAAGAGATGCCTTTTCTCTCTAGGCCCAGGAACATACATGTACTGGGCTGGTAGACAGAGCTTGTCTGGACCACGGGCTCCCTCAAATGTAGCCTCACTGAGAAGAGGCATTTGAAGGAATCTTTCATTTACCCCAAGAAAGGCTCCTTCACCCTGAGGTGCCGTTGGAAGATGAGAGAGGCTTGGAGATCCAAGCTCTATCTCTGGAGAGCAGAGATATTTCTCACTGGGCCCCTTCATCTCCCAGGCTTGGTTCTCCATTCTGTTAAAGAGGTGGCTGAACCAGGTAGACTCCAGAGCTTACCTGGTGCTCTTGGTACTGGCTCTCAGCAGCTTGGGGGCCTTGCCCGGGAGTAGCCCGCCTTTCTTCCTTTTCCCATGTCTTCAGAAAATGTCTCCAGGCTAGGGGATCTCTGCCTTCTGTCTGTTGGGAAGCTCCTGGGAGGGGTGAGAGGAGGGGAGGCTGAAGGAGAAAATAAACAGTGGTTGTCTGGATAGTCTCGCCAGGCCCAGGCAGGACGCTCTGTGGCTCCTGCCCTTATATGGCAAGGCTGCTCTGAGCTAGGAACCCTGCCTGTCATTCCCACCTCAGGCACCACTCAGAGGACGGAGGGCCACCACTGGTCACCTGGGCTGCTGTGAGAAGACAGGCATGACCTGGCACGTATGCTGGAAATCACCTATACACACTGAGCGGCTTATCTTGGCTTTTGATTGGTGTAGCCAGTGGGAGGGATAATACATGAGAATATGAAAAAGAATTAATCCTCAGCTATGAGACGAGGGTAATCGTTCCTCCATTTTGCAGAAGAGAAAACAGGCTCAGAGAGGCTAAGAGCAACGACGCAGCTGAACAGGAAATGAGGCTTTAACTCAGGCTGTCTGGTATCAGGGACTGGTATCTGGCCTGGGGTTCTGAGTTGACTGCCTGGATGCAGCATAAAGGGGCAGATTTGGCTATCACATGTGCTCTGTAGAAAGTCGATTGTGTTGGAGGTGTGCCCCTGGGAAGCCAGGGAAGCCTCAGTGTTCCACAACGCAGCCTAAGGGAAACAGTTCCGTTGGACGGGGACAATAGACTATTTACTGGTGTCTTCAGCGTGTCACACCGGGCCGCTGCAGATTAGGGCCTCATAGAAGGGCTGTGCAGAAGCACCAGATGAACAAATTGCTGGTCACAATTCCAGCTCTGCAGCCTGTCTTAAGGATCAGTTGAAGCAACAGGTGAGAAAGCAGGGAACATCTTTAAGATGGCTTTTCCTCTTCCAAGTGGCCTCTGGTGTCTCCCTGTGCTGATGTCTAAAATGAGCAGCTCCTCCTCTGTCCTGCTGTGGGACTCAGGGCCCAGGCCCTAGATTCTGATTGGAACCTCAGGCTAGGCCAAAGTCCCAGGCCAGCAGCAGTGACCGTGGGAGTGACTATGGAGGGAGGCCCAAGGGGGTGGGGGTGGGGGGTGGACTGCTGGGAACGGCTCAGAAATGTGCCTCACACAAGCACTAAACATCCTGTGTGCTCTCAGGCCAGCCCTGGAGCCTCCCTCACCCCATCCATCATCCTGGCATCTTCTGCAAGGCTCCTTCCTGGGACTGGCTAGGGGAGGGATTGGGGGGCCTAGGGGCTGACTGTCCCCGTGCCAGAGAGAGTGCAGCTGGCCACTCTACAGGCCTGCTTAATGTCCGCTGGAGGGTCACAGAGGAGGTGCCTGCAGTCTCCTAATCCAATTTGTTTACACGGGTCTCTGCAGCTCATTGGCTCCCAAGAGGAGACCAAGTGCATGCTGTGTTGGGGTGCACGTTCACACACATGTGGAGGCTACGCAGGGGTGAACAGGTGGGCTGTGTTATACAAGCTTTGTCTCCCATCTACAGAACTGTGGTTCCTCTCTGTAGCCCTGCCTCCCCCTTCACCTCCAGTTCTTCCTCTGTTTATTCCATCCCTGATAGACGTCTCTACACAATTCTGACCTCACAATTCTTGAGTGTGCACCTCCCTTCTGGGCCTCAGTTTCCCTACCTGTCTTATGGAGGCTCTACCACTGCTCTTTCCTGGGTGCTACCAAATGCAGGATGCTGTATGATCAAATCCCCGCAGGGCTGCAGGAGCACCTCCACCTCTGGGATCTGCTGTTACCAATAGCACAATGCTTGCCCAGAGCCCCAGGACCCCAGCTACTGCTCCTACAAAGCTCTTCCATCTCTAAGGAAGGTGGGGTGAAGTGGGAAGTGGGGTGAGAGATGTTCTCATGCCTGTTGGGTCCCCTCTTCTTTGCTCCATTATCCCACCCCCATCCCAGCCTCCCGCATTACCGAAAGGCCGCCCTTTGGCTAGGTTCTACTCTTAGAGACTCCCAGCCTTGGTTTCCTGGTCATTCTGAGCACTAGGATGGGGAGCTTGTCTGAGGGTCCCTAGTTATTTATAGAGTTACCTGAGTTGGGGGTGTATGTGGGGGCAGTGAAAGGGAGAACTTACAGATCTGGGAGCTGGGTGGCTATCGCTGTCCCTTCTCAGCTTCTCAGGAAGATTCCTCTCTGGGGCTCTTCTCCAGTGTAGGGAGAATCCTACCAGCCATTACTCTTGCCTGAAAAGAACAAAGGATTTGGCTCGGTCAGAAGTGTGTTGGATCACCCTGTGACCAGAGTGCTGAACTCCAAGGGCCTGGCCCACTTATAGCCCAGAAGCCTTGAACTGACTTGCTGAGGTTTGTCAGGCCCCATGGAATTGTCCTTTGGGTCCTACATGGCCACAATCACTGCTGTGTCCCCTGGTTTTCCAAGGATATAGAATGACCCCTGAATGGTGCATATATTGCTGAGGTGTGTATCTCTGTGTGAGTGTGTGTATGTCTCTGTGTGTGAACAAGGCTTTGCAGTTTGCTCGAGGTAATGACCAGAATCCAAGGCAGAAAGAAGCCAGGCTCAGCTGGCTAGCCCCTGAGCTTGGATGGCTATAAAGGAAAGTTCACATGGTCAAGATCATTGCCAAAACTGGGACCTTCTCCCATGGAATAAGCCATAGCTGTTCCTTCGGGAGAGATTTTCTACCTTAGCTTCCCTTTGTCAGCTCCCTCCCACACACAGGTTCCAAGGCTCTTGACTCCAGGATCTGATAGCCACCATATGCTTGGACAGAATAAAGGAGACGTAGGCTCTGTTTTTGAATCTCATCCCTGGCACTTCCCAGCTGTGTCTGTGGACCCTTGTCTTCACTTGGCTTCTGACAGTCAGAGGCAGCAGAGAGCAAACACAGCTCTAGGCACGTGATAAGTGGTGAATAAATGTCTGCAGTTTCTATCATTAGCATGGTAAGTGCAGGGCCAGAGGGGCACCTAGAAATGTGGATTCTGGCTGCAGGAGCCGCCACTGCCTGGCCCCTCCTCGTGTTCCCTCCTGCACAGCTTCCCGGGGCTTCTGTTCCCAGAGCGCCCTCAGACCCTTGTCACCCTGTAAAGTTCACCAACCTCACACGCTCCCTACTTCCTCCCCAGGGAATGAAGTTCTGGGACTCTTGAGCAAACCCTGGGAATATAGCTTGAGGTGGAGATCAGCAAGGAGGGTAGGGGGAGGGAAGAGAAGGAAGAGAAAGAAGACCCTGGCTCCTCTGGAACCCCAAGCCTTGCCTCCAGCAGCTCAGATCCTGGGGAGAGAGGAAGGCCCAAAATCTGGGGAGAGGAATGGTTTTCTGCACAGCTTCCCTTGGCTTTTCCAAGCAAGGTGGAGGAGAAGAGTCAGGAGTTCTTGATGCACCTCCCCATTGCTAAGAATGGTTGTCCAAGTCTCATCAGGATCTTTCTCAGTGCCATTTGACAAGTGAAGAAACCAAGGGTCTCGGAGCTCACAGCAGTCCCTCAAGGTCACCGCCACATAGCTCATTAGTCTAGGAGTCCCAGTTGGCCCCGTGCAACCCAGCACGCACTGTCCTCACTCCCCCGAAGCCCAGATTGCCTTGCTTGTCTTGGAGGAAAGGAGCTTGAGAACAGAGAAAGCATTTTTAGTGTGAACAGAAATCATCTGGGCCCTGGCCAGGCCACCAGACACTGGAAGCTATGGTTGTCTTGTGGTGGGCGTAGCTGTCCCTTTCCTATGGCATGTCTCCCTTGTTTGTGGGATATTTGTTTAAACAAACAACCCAAAACGCCATTGATATTATACACATTTTGCTTCTGTTCTCTGTGTCTTTTGGGTTTGTGTATATGCTCGTGTGTTCCTGTGCGTGTGCGTTTGTGTGTGTGTTTGTGTGTGTGTGTGTATGTGTGTGTATGTGTGTGTGCTTGTGTGTGCATGTGTGTGAGTGCACGTAGCATGCGCTTGTGCATGTGTATGTACATGTACCAGTTAAGTGTGAAGACTGGAGATTGCCATTAGGTGTCATGTATTGCTCAGTACCACTTTTTTTAAAAATTTAATTTATTTTAAAGTATGTCTCTGTGTATGTAAGTGCTTGAGAAGCCATAAGAGGGTGTTGGATCCCTGGGGACTAGAGTTACAGATGGTTGTAAGCTGCTGTATGGGTATTAGGGATTGAACCCTCATCATACGGGTACTGGGGATCTGAATCCAGGTCTTTGCTTCTTGCTTGCATGGCAAGCACTTTACCAGCTGAGCTGCCTTCCAGCCCATCCTGCCTGCGTTGTGAAGAATAGGAATCTCCAGGGTTGTAGGGCTTCACAATGTTCAAGCTTCCTGGATATTAGGCACGGGTTTCTTCTGGACTGTTTAGGACACTAAGATTAGTAGGCAGGGATAAAGCTCCTACAGATATAATCCCTGCAATTTATGTGCATGGGTCTTCGGCTCTCTGGGTGTCAGGAGCTACGCATGCAGGACATGGCGGCTGAGAGGGGGGCTTCATGGAGTCAGGATTCTCCTAACCCTGACCCCATCCCCTTTTGCTCATTGCTTGACTCAAAGCTAGTCTCAGTGAGCTGCACCGGGACCTGAAATCTTGAGGCATCCTGGTCTCGCACCCTCGTTCAGATAAGAACTCTGAAGCGAGGAGAGGCGAAGCAAGGGATACAAAGGGAGTGCTTGAAGTCAGGGATCCAACTGACATCCAGCTAGGGTCTTGACCTCAGCTATGGACTGAAGGATGCCATTGGTGGACACAGGGGGCCTCTGGGAGGAAGAGGGGGGGGCAGAAGAAGGCCCTAAGTCCCCTGGCTTTGAAGATGGAATAATCATGACTTCCTTCTTCAAATAGCTTTTGGCTCTTCCTAGAAGCCAGATGGCGGATGTTTGGAATGTATGTTGTAAATACTGTTTCAGGAGGGGGCGGGGTACAGATGTGTCACTTTCTTCAGTAACCAGAAAAAGATCTGAGGGAGGGACAAGAAGGAGGAAGCTGGCTGTGAAAGGATCTGGGTAGAAGAGAAGGGCACAGAGAGGAGAGATGTGTGTGTGTGTGTGGTGAGTGGTATATGCATGTGTGTGTGTAGTGTGGTGTGTGTGTGTGTGTGTGTATCTGTGTGTGTGATCTATGTATGTGTGTGTGTGTGTGGTGTATGTGTGGTGTGTGTGTGGTGTGTGTATGGGATATGTGTGTATGTATGGTGTGTGTGTATGTGTGTGTGTGTGTGGTGTGTGTGTGGTGGAGTGGTATATACATGTGTGTGTAGTGTGGTGTGTGGGTGTGTGGGTGTGTGGGTGGGTGATCTATGTATGTGTGGAGTGTGTGGTGTGTGCAGTGTGTGTGCAGTGTATGTGTATATGTGTATGTGTGTGTATGGTGTGAGTGGTGTGTGTGTGGTGTATGTGTGTGTATATGGTATGATATATGTATGTGTAGTGTGTGTATGGTGTGTATATGGTGTGTGTGTGGTCTGTGTGTATGTGGTATGTGTGTGTAAGGTGTGTGGTGTGTGGTCTGTGTGTATGTGGTATGTGTATGTGTATGTGGTGTGTATGATGTGGTGTGTGTGTATGTGTGGTGTGTGCAGTATGTGTGTGTGTGGTATGTGTGTATGTGGTGTGTGCAGTATGTGTGTGTGTGTGGTATGTGTGTATGTGGTGTGTGTGTGTGTGGTATGTGTGTGTATGTGATGTGTGTGTGTGTCGTATGTGTGTATGTGGTATGTGTGTGTATGGTGTGTGGTATGTGTATGTGGTATGTGTTGTCTATGGTGGTGGGGTAGATACTGATGGCCACAAAGGAGGGTAAAGGGAAGGAGCCAGCAGCAGCTGGGGAGGGGGCTGTGGCGCAAAGGGACAGCTCCATCTTGGGTTAGGAATAAACCCTACATCTAAAAATAACTCAGCCTTTCTCCCAGCAGGGCTGGCAGCAGGGTTGAGAAAGGCACACTTGCCCTTTTATGGTAAGAAAAAATCCAGATTCTCAGAGGCAGGCTGGGCTGGAGCCTACAACTGGATGAAGCCCAACCATGGGGTCTAGGGTGGGATAGGGCTGGTGGGGCTGCAACTTGGTGGGATTTCCTGGTGTGAGTCTCCTATTGTCTGTAAAGAAAGAGTCAAGTTAGGGGCAAAAGAGGCTACCTGGCTGTTGGTATTGGGTTCTAGGAAAGCCCTGGGGTATCTGCTAGATGCTAGTATTGGGTCCTGGGTATCTTTGGTTCACACAGTTCCCTGTTTCCAGGAAGGGAAAGAAATTAGATTTCTTGTGCAGGAGTTCAAGACACCAAGGCACACTGACCCAAGTTCATACCAGGTTGGCTTTTGTGCCCATTGTTCTGGAAAGCACTGTTGACAGTGGAAAAAGCCCCAACCTGGAAGTCACAGACCCTGCTCCTCTTCCAGTTTTGCTTTGTGACTTTGAATAATCTGCTGACCCTTTTTGGTCTTAGCTTTCTTCACTGGGATACATTTTATGTATTATTTATTTTATTATTATTATTATTGGTTGTTTTTGAGATAGCATTTCACTATATAGCTAAAGGTGTTATAGAGCTCACTATATAAACCAAGGTAGCCTTGAACTCACAGAGACCCACTTGCCCCTCTGCCTTCCAAATGCTGGGACTAATGGTGTAAGCCATTATGTCTAGCTGACTGGGATAATTTTAAATAGCTTCTGAGAACACACATACTCTCTGCCTCTGTGACCCCTCCCTCTCTCTCTCTCTCTCTCTCTCTCATACACACACATACACACACACACACACACACACACACACACACACACACACACACACGGTTTCATATTGCATGGTTCAGGCTCACCTTGAACTCACTGTGTATCCCAGGCTAGCTTTGAGTTCAACCTCCTCAGATTTCTGAGTACTGGATGCAGGCGTGAGTCACCACGCCAAGCTTGCTTCCACGCTTTTTCTCTCTCTGGGAATTTCTTGGCTAGAAAGCAAAGCTTGGGCATAGAAGACTCTGTAGGCTGCTGTTTTCTTCCTGCGGCCCACCCACTTCCTGTGCCAAACCTCCGGAGTAAATCTCGGATGGGTAAGGGAGCAGATCTTAGGGGGAATTCTCTGCTTTCCTGGCTCCTTGGGTTTAGACCTTATTGAACACACCGAGGCCAGAAGGTACCTCTTGTTCAAGGTCATATGGAGATCTAGGCAGAATCCAACAGAACCAAGGACTTCTCTGTCCCAGTCTTGGGGATTCCTTTTGCAGGAGG